ACCTGGAATACTGCCACAGCCTCTGCTAACAGGTTTTCCTATTTCTGTGCCTTCGTCCCCACTACAGTCCATTCTCAGTCAACAGAACAGCCAGTGCGATCCTTTTTAAAACTGAAGTTACAGCATAGTGCTCCTTTGATTAGTATCGGTCACAGTAACATCTAAAGACTTCACAGTGGCCAGCAAGGCCCTACGAGATCTACCCCTCACCCCATTACTGCCCTGACTTCCACTCCTAAACCAGCCTCCTTGCTAGTCCTTGCATCTTCCTGCCCTACAGCCTTTGGTCTTGCTGATCAGTCTGCCTGGCACCTACTTCCCTCAGCTGTCCTCCTGGCGAAATCCCTCACCTCTTTGATGTCTGCTCAAATCTCCTTTTCCCAATGAGGTATATATACCCCAACCACCCCAATTAATTCTGTAACCGGCCTCCTCTTTACCCGTTTGTTCTTTCTTCTTGGCCACAGCACCCGCCCCTCTAACATACTTTATCACTAATTTCTGCACTCATTATCTTTCTTCCTCTGTTCTATTATCATCAAAGCACAAAGACCCAAATCGTCCAAGAGTGACTTCAGGAACTTAAATGGTTTTGTCTAGATTAGGGACTTTGCCAGCTTCCTGAAATAGGAGTTTTGCCAGGTCTCAATTTCTCTAGGGACCAAACTCTCTGGAAGGCACAATAACCCAAAACTTGTGAATATATGAAATTACATGGCAGAGGGCAATTAGGGTTACTAACCAGCCGATCTTAAAATAGAGATTACCCAGGGTTATCTAGTTGGATCCAACAAAAATCACAAGAGTCCTTAAAAATGGAAGAGGGAATCTGAAGAGATCCAGAATGATTCAAAGCTAGAAAGATTTAACTGGCTGTGACTGGCTTTGAAGATGGAGGGAAGGAGCCACAAGCCAAGAACACAGGCAACCTCTAGAAGCTGAAAAAAGAAACAAATTCTTTCCTAGAATCTCTAGAAGTAACAAAGTTCTGCTAATATCTGATTTTAGGCCAGAAAGACCCATTTCACACTCGATTTCCAGAACTGTATATAATTGACGGTATATTTAAGCCACTAAATGTATAGTAATTTGTCACACAGTAGTACTAGAAAACTATCTTCTTTCCCACTTTAGAAGGGCTGTAACTCTCCTTAGGTCCCACAGTCTCCAGCAGCTGAGGAACAGGTTTTCTGACAAGTTAGTCTCTAAACAGCTGGCACCTAACCTAGACTGTCTGGTATAAAATGGTCGGATTTTCCCCACATTATCAAGGTTGCTCTCACACCTGCCCTATAAAAAGGAAGAACAATAAGGGGATGGGGTGGATACACAACATGCACACGCAGCAGACTGCCTAGGCCCCAGCAGACTTTTATTTTGGATGGTGAAAGGATTAAGGACTTTTCTTGTTGACTTTGGACTATTTGAATCTTCCCTTTCCCCAGTAAAGCCTATCCCTTAACTGATGCTATGTATAAAATTGTGGAATTCATACTGAGAACTACTGCAAAACAACTGATGGCCCAGTAGGGACCTACCTTACAGGACAACTTAAGGATATTTGTTTACAGATGTATACAAAGTACTTAAAATGGTGCCTTACCCTTAGTCGGGATTCCATTAATATGTGTTGAAAAAATAAAAGCTATAAGTGCTATTACACATCAGATAAAATTGGCTCCAGATGCCTTCAAGGCTTAAGCATGAAAGGTAAAACTATAAAGCTAATAGAAGAAAATGGTGGGGATTTTTTTGCAATCTAAGGATAGAAAAGATTTCTTGAATAAAATTACAAGCATAAAAACTCCAAGGACAAAAACTGATGGATTTCATTACATAAAAATTAAGATTTATGTTCAACAGACAGGATACAGAGTGGAAAAATATATTTCCAATATTCAAAAGTGACAAGGGAATAATAACTGGAATATTAGACAACAAATTCCTGCAAGTTGATAACCTCAAAAAAGTCAGGACATATTACAAAAGTAAAGCACAGGAAAAGGAAATTCACATGAAAGAAAAGTAAAACAGCCAAGGATATGAAGAAATGCTCAAATTCAAATCACCCCCCAAAACGCAATTTAAAACAAATAACTATAACTCTATACCATGTGTGTTGATGTGTGTATGGAAAAAATTAGAAATTTGACTACAGAAGTGTTAGTAGGGATGTGAGGATGTAAAAATCCTCTGCCGCTAGTGATGGGGTACAGACAGGGGTGTAGCTATTTTGGAAAAAAATCTAGCAGCACTTGCTCAAGTATGCCTGTATTTATGACCCAGCAATATTGCCCTTAGGTAAGCATTACAGACATTTTCACACTGAATGATAGTAGGATGTTCAGGACAGCTTTGTTGGTGATAGCTGGAAGCTGAAACCAGTATGAGTTCCATGGTAAGAAAGCAGGACATGCTAGGAAACTTTACTAGCAGGTAGAAACAAAAAAATAATGCATACACACACAGTCATAAAAATTATTCCCTATAGAAAAAGGGAGAAACAGAATAAGGTTTAGAGAAGAACAACACTTAAAAAAGATTACTTATGGGTAATCTGTGTGGCTCAGTTGGTCGGGTGGCCGGACTGTTGGTTTCCGCTCAGGTCATGATCTCAGGATCCTGGGATCGAGCTTCACAGCGGGCTCTAGCTCAGTGAAGAGTCCATGGATTCTCTCTCTCCTTCTGCCTGACTCCCTCCCCCCAACACCCAGCTCTTTCTCTAAAATAAATAAATAAATTTTGAAAAAAAAAAAGATCACTTATGTTTTATTTTCAGGCCTTAACTCATCATACATTCTTACCTCCATTATTTACTTACTTATTATTTTTTAATTAAGTAGGCTCCACGCCCAACCTAAGGCTTGAACTCATGACCCTCAGATCAAGAGTCGCACGCTCTTGGGGGGAAAAAAAAAGAGCCACACGCTCTACCAACTGAGCCAGCCAGGTGCCCCTCCATAGCCAATTTAAAAAAGGAAAAATTAGAAAACAAGTGAAATTTCTGGGAATTATGTTAAAATAGAAATGAGGAAGTGACCAGAAGCTGAGAAATGGCCCTACAGGCTTCTCAGCAGGGATAACCGTAGCTGGACTTAATACAAGCACTAAAATATGGAGTTGTTTAAAAGAAATTTATCCTGTGATCTTCCAGAAAAAGTTACAGATTAGTTGCCCACAAGGTGCCCAATAAAGCAAAAAATGAGCCTTACATACTTTTGGAAAAAATCACGTTACTCATGGTCTTTGAATTCATCTTTCTCGCTCACTCTAAATCTAGTCTAGAGAAGCAGTGGAGAGGTTTGGGAAATTATCCAAAATCCAAATCTTTGATATCAGAGTGGGTCTTAGCTTTTTTTCTGGAACCAATTTTCCAGAATTCTCTGTCAATACCTAAGAAAATGGAGCCTCTTCACCTAAGGGCTGCCCCCTGATGCCCTGGTTTCTCCTAGATTAAATCTAACCTGGGGTTCAGAACACTTCACAAAATGCATACAAATTAACTAAAAATTCCTAGAAAGGCTAGTTTTCTTTAAAATACAGTATGTTCATAACATTCTCTTTTGAAGCCACAGACAAATTTGAGGAATGTATTTCTTCATTGGAATGCATTATTAGTTTACAGAATTTAGGACAACTTTGCCCAATTAAGGAAAATATAGGATTCCTAAACATAAGTATAGTATGGGAGTACCTGCAAGACTGACAGCACATTTTCCCAAGATAAATACTTTTGAATATCACAAGAAATTAAAATACGTTTTTGTTTTTAAAAATAAAATCAACGGTTAAGAAAAAATAAAGCACATACATCTGTGTGTGTAGAGAGAGTGAGAAAGCAAGTGTGGAGAAAGGTTAACACTTGGTGACCACCTCCCCCACCCCCGCCCGGGGAGGTTTTCACCATATAATTTGTTTTCCATGTGGATTTAAAGTTTTATAAATAAAAGTTGGAGAGAGATTTAACACAACAGTTTTAATTTAGTATCCAGCCTCCCCATGGTCTTATGATTCACCTCAATTTAACATTCAGCTCCTTATTTTGTTACTTCAACACTATATATCCCTCATGGCACGCATATATGCAATTCAGGTAAAAATGCCTTATGACCACCTAGTGTCAGAATATGTCTTAAAAAAAAAAAAAAAAAAAGCTTGGAAAACCTGGATCAAAACTCCGAGACAGACAGGTTATTCCCCTAACGTTGCTCCTAAAGAGCTGACCAATTTCTTCTTAAGCTTAAGACAACACAAGTACCTAGGAATGTTATCTCTGCCCAGCTCTTCGCTGCTGGGAACCTTTCTAAATCTTTGCTCCTCCCATGAGTCAGACCTGGAATTCCTGCGAGTAGAATTCGTTAGTGGAAAACTATTTATGAAGTGGACACTATTTCTAAATCACTACTCATCATCTTGCAAGGCAATATTAGGCACTGTTCTTGCTATTAACCTAATCAAACTAGGATCACTAAATACACTGCAAACACGCACAAACGACTTATCTTCCAGTACACAAAATACTAAAAATGTTGGCAATCTACATTAACCCATCGTTTTCCCCTTCTCTTACTTCCTCGTTTCTAAAATAAACCCCTACTGACACCGTATACATTAATAAATGGCTTTGATGCAACTGTGGGGCAGTTCTAGAAAGACTGAGATAAAGTGAGAGCGCAACGCTGAGTTGGCGAGGAGAATGGTTTTGCACATTCCTCTGAAATCCCGGGGGCGTCGGGATCTCATCCCGACCGCGGCAACGGCGGACAGGCGAGGAGGGGACAGCAAGGGAAGGGAGCAGCGAAAGGTGACACGGGCGACCCGGGGCCCGGGGGCGCGCGGCTTCCCAGGGCCCCGCGCCGCGCGCCCCTCCCCTCCGCTCCCCGCACTGCCTCACCCGCCCCTCCCCACCCGGCTCCCTCAAGTCTCCACGAACGGAAATGGGAGTCACAGCGCCGGGGACCAGCGGAAACAAAACACAGAGGCGGCCGCGGGGGGGCCGCTGTGGGTGAGAAGGCCCCGGAACGAGGCCGGCCCGCGCGGGCCCGCGCTCCCTTCCTCCCCCGCGGCCGCACTCACCCGCTCCGGAATCGGCCCCGTGGCCCCCACCCGCGCTCCAGAGCCGGCTAAGAACAGCAGGGGCGCGGGCTCCACGTGCAGCGTCTCTCCCAGTAAGACCCGCAGCTCCCGCGATTCGAAGTGTGAGGCCCCTGGGCCCTTCCCGCAGAATCGGCGCTGAGAAACTCCAACCCCCCCTCCCGCCTCCCAGGCACCCCCGGGTCCGGGACTACAACTCCCAGCAGGTTGCGCGAAACGAACGCCTGAGGCAACGGAGGCTCACGAGGCACACGAGAGCCCAACGCCCCAATCCGGCTTTGTTTTACACTCTGACTTTCCGGGCATAATCATACACCTCAACAACCCCAAAGAACAGGATGTTGACTTGGGTCAAGGAGGATTGAACTAGGGAAAAGGCCAGTCAAAGTGCGCATGCGTACACATGAAAGCTTCCAGGAGGTAAAAAGACAGCCGGTCAAGTTAGGCGACGGAAAGATGGCGGAGGCTTCGCCAAGGGACCCGGAAGCACTTACCCTCTACTTCCTCCTCCTGTTTGGCTTCTGTCTCACCTAGAGCCGTCCGGTCGTAGACCGCCTCCGAGACGTTTCCTGTCCGGTGAGTGTCGACCGACTGAAACGGCGGCCCATAATGCATTGCGATGGCGGGCGGGTGGGGGCGGAGCCACGGCCGGAAGTAGAATGGTCGCGGCCGCGGAGGCTCTGGCAGCTCGGGACTGAGTGCAAGGTGACTGGGAGGGTAGCTAGACTAGCTTGGCCTCTTGGGACTCAAGATTCTGGGTTTCTTATGGCGCCTGGGCTGCCTAGTACCTCTGTCCTTCAGGAGAATAGAGCAGTCCTCTGTCCCGGGCACCTTCACCGCCTGGCCCAGGGTCACTGTTGACCTCGCCGCTTTTAGGCCTTGAAGTCTGCGGTGGACTTGGTATTCAGGCCTGCAATACCTGCTCTTAGGGCAAACTTGGGTGGCACGGGAGGCAGGGAGACCAGGGATTCATGGGCCCGCGGCCCAGCTGGGGCAGCCCAAGGTCATTCCCTTAGGGCGGGTCTGCAGCCTGGCCTGCCCTCTCGGGGCGCACGGGAGATTGTGCCCAACTGTTTAAGGCAGAATGAGGGAAATGGGTGATAGTAATCTTAAAAGTTTACATTCCACCTAAAAATAGTGCAGCTTTGTTTTCCACTCATTTCGCAGCACATCCAACACCTCAACGCCAAGAAACGAGATGTTGACTGGGGGCCAAGGGGGTGCTTGAACTAGGGGTGAGGCCAAAGTTCGCAGGCGGGACAAAACAGGGTTTCCAGAAGAAGAAAGAGAACGGGTCGTTTAGGCGGGTTGTGGATTGACCTCAGGAATATGCACGGAGGAGGCGGGGAAAGGACTAATCTGTGGCTGGTCAGTCATCTCTGTTAACTGGAGAACCGTCCACCCTCTCAACACAGGTTCTCTGCGCATGTGTACCCTTTCTTGCTGTTGCCTTCTCGTGGCACCCCATAGTACTTGATTAGAGAACTTAACCACACTTGGTATTTTACACCTGGTTGTGTAATAACGTATCTTCTGCGTGACGGTGGACTGATAGTGGACACTCCTATGTTAATCAGTGAAAAAACAAAAGGGAATAAAAGAGAAGGAACAAGTTTTGATAGATTATGTGTTCATTTTTTAGACACGTTGAATTTGAGGACTTATGAAGGGAAGAGACCTGTTGGTTGTATGGTTTTGGGGTTCGGGAAAAAGGCCAAAATTAGAGACGTGATTTGGAAATCATTAATACTTAGATGATGATAGAGGGGTGGCTGGCTGGCTCAGTCGATTGAGCATGCAACTCTTCATCTCATGGTGGTGAGTTCAGGCCCCACGATGGGTGTAGAGCTTACTTAAAAAAAAAGTAGATGATAGAAATTGAAATAATGAAAATGGATTTTACCGAGTAGGAATAACACAATTTTTGCAAGAGTCAGAGCAAATTAACTGTGGGAATATGGGCAATGTAATAACTTTCCGTAGACATAGTTTTACTATCTATAAAGGAGGGATAAGAACACTTTCCTCTAATTATTAACAGTATTACCCTAATGGTACAAAGAGAGAATATATATGTCAGTGCTTTGCCAAGTATTTTGGGCTGAACAAATGTTAGGTGACCTTATTGATTACTGGTAGCATGTCTTTAAGTTTCCAGAAGGGAAAATATACCTTGAGTAGCACAATTTTTAAAATAGGTCTGTGTCCAGTCAGATTCTACTGTGTAACCTTGGGCCACATACTTAATCTCTAAGCCTTAGTTTCTGTATGTAAAATGGGAATGATAGTAAGTAGCACCTTAAGGTTATTTGTTGTTTGCTTGGAGTCTTCTCAAGTATATTTCTCTGATGAGGTGTAAGCGTGATATATGGTGAATTCTTTAATTTCTTTAGATAGCTTGCTTTCATCCTGGTAGGTGAAGGATATTTTGTTTATTATGGGAGTTCTTTTGGTAGTTTTTATTTAAATTCTAGTTAACATACAGTGCAATATTGGTTTCGGGAGTAGAATTCAGTGATTCATCACTTACATACAACACCTAGTCCTCATCATAACAAGTGCCCTCCCCCATAACTGTCATCCATCTCGCCCATCCCCCAACCCAACCTCCCTCCATCAACCCTCAAGTTTGTTCTCTTCTTTTGGTGGTTTTTATGTGCGAGTCCAGGGCTTCTCAACCTTAGCACTATTGACATTTTGGACCCGATATTTCTTTGTTGTGGGAAGGCGGTTATTATTTTTGTGATTGTTATTATATCCCTGGCCTTTACCCACTAGGGGCAAGTAACATCCAAGTCAGGACAAGTCAGGACAACCAAAATGTCAAAAATGTCAACTATCTCTTGGGGGATACTGCCACCCCTACTCAAGAACCACTGTGCTACTCTACAGTCTTCTAAGTTAGTACTTCTCAAACTCTTAGTGGTAGAGGACCATTTTTTCCCCCAACCCTTGCAGCTACTTTGGAAGAATACAATAAAAAGGAGTTACTGGAAAAATTAGATGAAAGACAGTAGGGTGAAGACACACAAATACAAACTGATTTATTCAACAAATACGTATTACTATGTCAAATTGCTATAAAAGTTTCAGTAATAATTCGTATACCACTGCTGGTCCACAGACCACACTTTGAGCACTTTAACAGAAGTTCAGTGTCAGGATGACAATGATTATTATTAACAGGTAATTTTGGAACGCCATGGGAATCATGTTAGCGTGATTTTAGAAATTTTACCAAGCTATATAGGTGTGAATCTTTTATTCCCATCCAACATAGGGTTGAGTAAACTCTGTTTAATAGACAGCATCTTTCTTAACCTGAGGGAAATTTCTTCTCTAATTATGGCTTCCTTATCTATTCCTTTTCTTTGGGAATTCTTGTTTGCATGTATTGTAATTTGGAATTTTTTTTTGCATTTGATCTTTCACAATACTAAATGAGGTCTCAACTGAGATTGTCTTCTGTTTTATTTGCTGAAGTGTTTTAGTTAGAAAATCATGTATTTTAGTTTTGGGAAGTCTAAGGACTTGGAGGTCTTTAAGTCCTTATTTTTCATTGTTTTATTGATTAGGTTGTACCGCTTGATTTTCTCTTGTTGGTGGGCTCCCTTGGGCTGGTTCTTTTGGACTTAGATGTGGTTGTTAAACTATTCTTGAATGCCTGGAATCCTGCAGTTGTAGCAGACAGCAGTTTCCCCTGCTGTGGGGCCTGTGAAGTAGAAACTTCCAGGCTATCAGTCCTGGCTGAGGCACAGATTATCTCCAGTCTCTGCTCAGCTCTCTTTTGGCCTTTTGAGAGGGTCAGGGAAAACTGGCACATTAATTTGGGGGCCAGTGTTCTTTTCTGCCTTGGATGGGCAGTTTTCTAACATCCTACCTCAACTATGCCATGTGGTCCGAGACTAAGTTTAGGGAGAAGAAACACCTCATCCCGGATTTTTGCTTTCTTTCTGCATTTAACCCAGCGCACAGGCCTGATTTGTTCCTAACTGCTCCTAGGTCCCAGGGCCTTTTGGTTAAGAAGCAAAAAACTTGCAGTGGGGAGTGGTGAGGGGAAGGGAGCTCTGGTCCGGTGACTGTTCCTAGCATTCAGTGAGTTCTGGTATGATTTATGATTGAGTCCTGTAGCAGTTAGTGGAGTTAGATTCCCACTATATGGTATATTTAGAGGTATTTTACAATTATATGTATTTTAAAGTATATTAACATTCTGGTGCTTGTTTTCAGTAACAGAATCACCATGATTCTTCAGAGGCTCTTCAGGTTCTCCTCTCTCATTCGGTCTGCAGTCTCAGTTCATTTGAGGAGGAACATTGGTGTCACAGCAGTGGCATTTAATAAGGAACTTGATCCTGTACAGAAACTCTTCGTGGACAAGATTAGAGAATACAGAACTAAGCGACAGTAAGTGGGTAGATAATCAACCATGGTGTAAATATAAATATTCAAAGTATGTAAGTTTTGAGATGGGGGTAAAAATTACTTGGTGTTTCAAAGTGTCTGAGATCTTCACTGAGCTGATCCCTGGTATAGAGGTTCATTAGGTGCCCTAAAAGAAGATAAAAATCTTGATGTTAAGTCCCAAATTTTATTTTCCTTATATGGGTTCCAAGGGAGAATTCCATTAAATCTATTGTCATTTTAGATATAGCGTTATTATAATGTCATTTATTATAAAGTGGAGTCAGTTCTTAGAAGCACATGGGATCTTGGAAATCATTTAGGAACTATATTTGAAAAAACTAAGTCCCTTAGACATTAATTAGCCCAAAGTCATAAAACTAATCAGAGGAAAAACATCAAAATATTCTAACTCTTAATTTAGTGGCCTTTCTATGACATCATGATTTAGGGGGGAATGTATGAACACAGCATTTTTTTCTTTCTTTCTTTTTTTTTTTTTAAAGATTTTTTATTTATTTATTTGACAGGGACACAACAAAAGAGAGAACACAAGCAGGGGGAGTGGGAGAGGGAGAAGCAAGCTTCCCGCGGAGCAGGGAACCCGATGCGGGGCTCGATCCCAGGGCCCTGGGATCATGACCTGAGCCGAAGGCAGACACTTAATGACTGAGCTACCCAGGCACCCCCACAGCATTTTTTTCTTTAGTGCTATTTCCATAGTTACATATTTTTGGGAAGATCAAAGGACAAAAGACAGAAATGGCGTAAAGCAAGTCCGGGATAAACATGATTGCAGAACCACACAGTTTTGGAGATAAATGATGACCTTAGCCACGAAATTCAACCCCCAAATCTTAGGAAAAGTAACATACATCAGTTCGGTGTTCTGTTTTATTTAGTTGTCTAGCATGTGCAAAGCACTGGGTATTTACGGTGGTGGGCCACAGAAAGAAGCCATATTGCATTTCCATAATCTTGAAATCTGATAAGTGTAGAAAGCTTATAGGTATGTATAAAGTAATGTATCAGGTAAAATGGATTAGAGCTGAGGTAGTGACAGGAGTCAGTGCTTGGGGAGTTCACAGGAAGGAATGCTCTTTTCTAGCTGGAGGCAGTTTGGAAGGTAGCTTGCGAGAGTGATTGTTTTTATCTTGGCTTTGAAAGCACTGTTTGGGGTCCTTTATCCCTTTTGAGGATATGGATAGCTATGGATTATCCTCTCAGTTTAAAAAAAGTGAAGAATTTACTCACATGATTTTGCTTATAGCTTGAAAGTGTTCTCAAACCCATGGAAGGCCATCAGTAGACATCCATACCTAGGGGTCTCCCTCAGGTTGTGAACAATTGGTGTGAAGTTCAGACAGAAATGGGAGTGGGGGGGGATATCTTCTAGGAGGAAAGAATGGTGTGAGCTAAGGCATGAAAACTTGAAACCACAAAGTATATTTGGGAAATTGTGTCATGCTGTTTCCCAGGACTGTAGGGTATACGAGGAGTGTAGGGAGCAGTAAGAACAGGAATGGGATTGAAATGAGGGGATTATGAGAGGCCTTGATTATAGATGGGCAGTTAAGGTGTTATATGATAGGAATTGATGAGGAATTAAAGGTTTTTGAGCAGGATGGTGGGGGTGGAACAAGATTAAAAGTACTCTATTAGGGTAATTTAATCACAGTATTACAACAACTGGAATAAGTAGAAAAGGAAGACAGGGTAGGAAACTGTAATAATCCAAGTATTGGTTGATGAGAATCTTACTTTATAGCAGTGGGAATATAAAAGTGACAGTCAAGACACTGAGAGACTGAGAACTGGTCTTGGTTATCTGGTGGAGACAGAGGAGAGGGAACAGTTAAAGACTCTGAGACTTTGAGACTGGGCAACTAACAAAAAGGTTTTGTCCTTCTCAAAAACTAAGGAGGGAGAGAGCAAAGGGATTAAAATGAAATTCTGACAACAATCTTACAGAGCTTATCCTCATTTTATATTTGAGAAAAGCAAGGCTAAAAGTTTAGAATTTGTCTAAAATCACAATGTTCAGTAAGCAGATGAGCAGGGCTGGTTGGGGAATGTGAGTGTCTCCTGTCCGGAGGTATTTTAGTGTCTTAGTATTGATGCTGTTTGTACTTTAGCTATCCAGTAAGTCAATCCTGAGGTGTACTCTTCTTATTTTTTTTCAAAGTAAACTTTACACCCAACGTGGGGCTCAAACTCAGGACCCTCAAGAGTTGCATGCCCTACCCACTGAGTCAGCCAGGTGTCTCTGAGGTGTACTCTTAGTCCAAGGAGCCTATGGTTCATTCATTTGTGCATATGGTGTGGAGAAATGTTCTGCGCGTGGATTCTGGCTTGGAATGCAGCTCTGACACTTACTAGTGCCGTGACCTTGGGCAGGTTATTTAACCTCTGTACCTTATTCATAGTAAAGTGGGGATGATAATAACAGCACTGTTTCACAGGATGTTATTAAAATTGAGTGATTCAACAAATTAGTTTATAGTAAGTGCTGAATAAATCTTTAGTATGTTTTAAGTGAAATAAACAAGTATCTTTTGAGTGTCTCCTTTGTTCTGGTCACCATGCTAAGTTCTGGGGATGTAGTGAGATGGGCTGGGAGACAGTTGAGGAGATAGGTGATATCTTGCCTCTTTTTCGGAAGAGTACATATTAAAGTTAAAACAGCCATCATCTATCAGTAACCAGTATATTGGTCGGGGCGCCTGGGTGGCTCAGATGGTTAAGCGTCTGCCTTCGGCTCAGGTCATGATCCCGGGGTCGTGGGATCGAGCCCCACATCGGGCTCCTGGCTCAGCAGGGAGCCTGCTTCTCCTTCTCCCTCTGCCTCTCTCCCTGCTCAGGCTCTCTCCTCTCTCTCTCTCTCTCTCTGTATCTCTGTGTCTCAGATGAATAAATAAAATCTTTAAAAAAAAAAAAAAATTAACCAGTATATTGGTGAGACTGGCTGGCTCCTCTCAAAGCAGGTTCTAAACTTGTGGTCCCAGAGCTGGAAGACAGTCATTAAAGTATCTGGTTGAAGGCTCTATCTAGACCTGCACTGTCTGTTTCATTAGCTATTATCCACATGTGACTATTGAAATCTAATTATAATTAATTAAGTATGAATAAAAATTCAGTTCCTCAGTCACTTTAGTCACATTTCTAGTGCTCACTAGCCAGATTTTGCTAGTAGCTACCTTATGAGACAGTGTAGATAACAGAGCATGTTTGTCATTATAGAAGGTTCTATTGCATGGGCTGATCTAGAAGAAAATTGGGTCCATGACAACAAACATTAACAAGTTCTTAAATTAGAGCTGTTTCTGTATTTTTTGTGGAAATTCTGTAACATAAGTAAGGCCCTATACTTTTATCATAGTCATATGTGAAAATATTATTACCCTTCCTGGAATTCTCATTTAAAAAGTTTATTGTTCATTGGTAGGCAGGCAGTAACATGACAAACAGAATTTACGCAAAGAATTAGTTACATCTCATTGGCCCCACTGCTGGTCTGTGATGCTATATTTATCTTCCCAAAGCACAACTCTAATGTTGTCATTTTATTCCTTAGTAAATAAAATACAAACTCCCAGACTTAACATTCCAGGCCTCCCATGACCTGGGTCCTGCTGGCTTTTCCATCTAGATGGCTTACATTCTCCACATATAGCTAGTTCTTTATATTACCTCCATATCTTTGCTTTTCCAGTCTTAGAATGTATGAAATTAAAATCTGACCCAAATGAGTGATTTGTCACATATGCCACCTTTTTAAGATGAAATTTTTCCCAATTAGCTCAGCAAAAGTGCGTTCTCTTCAGCTTGAGTAGCTGTGTGATAGACTGTCTTTGAAGTTTATCAATAACTTTTTTTTTAAAGATTTTATTTATTTATTTGGGGGAGAGAGAGGGAGAGGGGGAGAAAGCATGAGAGGGGAGAGGGTCAGAGGGAGAAGCAGACTCCCTGCTGACAAGGGAGCCTGATGCAGGACTCCATCCTGGGACTCCGGGATCATGACCTGAGCCGAAGGCAGTTGCTTAACCAGCTGAGCCACCCAGGTGCCCTGAAGTTTATCAATAACTCTTACAGCACAAATGTTTCTAAACATGTTATTTTTTTTCCTAAATAGCAAAATCTCTGAGGTAGGAAATTTTTTGCTGAGACCTTTTAGAAGCCATTTAGTGATGGCTGATTTAAATCAGGTAATAAAAAGAGATAACACTTTTATTGACCACTATGTTATCTCACTATGTGCCAGGTCCTCTATTAAGTAGTACACGTACATTATCTCTCTAATTCTCATAACACCACCATTAGGTAGGACCTTTGGTTTTAGATGTGGAAACTAAAATTTTAGAGCACTTCATGCCTTGCTCCAGCTTATGCAGTTTTAATACATTATAGAGCTGATTCAAGCAGAAGCAGTCATTGACTCCAAGAGCCCATGGACTTAACCATCATATCTTACAGCAACTTAGACCTCAAGAGATTCTGACTTAATAAACATCCTTGATAATCCAAACCTTGCATGTTAGAAGTTTGAAGTTGCCTTGTTTATGTGAAACATCATAAAAAAAGTTTGAGTTGAAATTCAAATGGATAGGGCGCCTGGGTGTCTCAGTTGGTTAAGCGACTGCCTTCGGCTCAGGTCATGATCCTGGAGTCCCGGGATCAAGTCCCACATCAGGCTTCCTGCTCGGCAGGGAGTCTGCTTCTCCCTCTGACTCTCTTCCCTCTCATGCTTTCTATCTCTCATTCTCTCTCTCTCTGAAATAAATAAATAAAATCTTAAAAAAAAAAAATTCAAATGGATGTACTTTTTTTCAGAAAGAGTATTTGTCCCATGCAAATACTTTTAAAAGATCTATTGAAACTTGATGGTGAAAAGTAATTTTGTTTTTGTAAATTAGTGTACAAGATGAGTTTTTACCTGCTCGTTTACACAACAGGGCATCTGGAGGACCCGTTGATATTGGCCCAGAGTACCAGCAAGACCTAGAGAGGGAGCTTTTTAAGCTTAAGCAAATGTATGGTAAAGCAGACATGAATACGTTCCCGGACTTCAAATTTGAAGGTAAGTGTCTTTAATCGTGGATTCAGTCTTGTGGGAGATTATTTTAAGTTGAGCATATTTCTACTTTATACTTACTTGGATTATTCAGAGGATTAAATGACAATCACACGTAAATTTATTAGGACAGTGACGTTTGCATGAGAAGCTCTGGTATAAATGTTTGCCATTGGTATAGGAGATCATATAACAGGTTAAATGGTGGGGTTCTGAAATCAAACTCCCTGATCTTGAATCTTAACAAGATCACCTATGAAGTGTGTGATCTTGGATAGTTAACTGGTGAGTGTTTGTCACCTGATCTTTGGGGAGAATTATATCTTCTTTGTGGTGGTTGTAATTAAATGACATAATGTATGTGAGATCAGTTAATAGGGAACCTGGTTAAAATAAGTGCTGAATAAATCTTTAGCAACTGTTATGTTTCCATGTAGGTGTTTAAAAACAGTATTCACTAAAAAAAATCAGAAGATTGATGAGTTAAATATTAAAGCCTTCTATATAATGCATTTTACTGCAATATGGCTAAGCTCGAACCTTTTTTTTTCCTTTTCTTAGATCCCAAATTTGAAGTCATCGAAAAACCCCAGTCCTGAAGAAAGAATGTAAAATTTATTTGGTAACTTGTTCTAGATTAGTTGTACAACTGTATCAGAATAAACATACATTTCTCAGCTGTCAGGTGTTCTTTTAATTCTGATTCCAAATAAATTATTTGGTGATGTTGGGTGTACAGTTGAGTGTATTGAATTCTGTGTCTCGGCATCATTTTTAAATCCTACCATTTAGTTACAATGAATCAGGTGGAGACCTTGGATAAATTGGCTACAACTTGCCCATAACCGGCCAGACTCTAAGTCTGTGCAGGGCTACCTTTTAGTCGTGGAGACTTCCTGAGGAGAGCCACTCTGACCTAAGGAATGTTTGCTGCAGAAGGATGTTACATCCGCTCCCAGAATATAAAGAAACGGCTTATAAACCTTTTATTATAACTTTTCCACGAAACTCAAGTTAAGTTTGAACATAAACAGGAGCATCCATTGTGTTTTAACTACCATCTCCTCAAATACTAACTGCTTTTATCCTAATAGCCCGGGGCCCTCTCTTCCCTTGCAGTTTATGATCAGAGGCTAGTACTGTGCTCCACAGACAGAGGAAGGAAAGCTGAGACTGGGGTGGGGGTTCTCCAAAGGAACTCCTTTGAAAGATGAAGCCGTATGGTGTGGTTTTGCCCAAGTGATGGAAGACCCAGCAAATAATGCACTGGATAGGTGACCTAACAGGCATATCAAAATCTCAGTTACTATAGATGGGTCATTTAGCTCATTTCAAAAGAATAGATTTTTACTGTGTTGTGCCAGTCTAGCTGAAATCAGACCCACTTAGGAATACCTTTTCCAAAAGACCTATAAACATTTCCTAATGATAACAGCTGTGATTAAACTAGTAAGTTGTGCAGAATTGGAATTGGGGAAAGCAGTAGGAAGAAACAGCCCAGTTTCTTCAAATGGTGCTAAGCAATGACAGTTCACTTCAACTACTTTTATTTAAATAATTGTAGATATTGAAACAATTTGATGTTTGATTATGGTAAGGTAATTGAAGAAGTCTAGTTGCTCAGGTCTTTTCTCTAACTTCCACCGAAACAACACCCACCTGTGGCAGGCGAGGTGCCTTGGAGTCCATAGTACCACTGCCTGCCCGTCTAGAGAAGGGCCTGACCCTTGTCAGCACACGCTTCACCTCCCTTATACTCCCCTCACGTCCCCCACTTGGTTTAGTTATTTTACCTTTTATAATTTCACACCTACTTTCTCATACACTTTTTAAAAATCTGTCTTGCAACTATTTGGAGTTTGCTGGAACATCCCAGTCTCTTCATTCTGTAAACATAAGGATTCTGTTTGTGATTGACTATAAGAACACTCTGTTAAGTACCCTACTCCCCTGCCCTACATCATAGGGCTTTTATTACTAACTTCTGACCCGGAAAGTGCCTTTTTTTCCAGCTGGATGTGAAAGCCCTTATCTGCAGAGCCCCTTCCTCTCTGGTGAGGCTGCCACGACTCTGCAACTCCAGCCCTTCTCTGCCAGTTCAGTCGGCCAGTGCACTCCTTATCCTGGACTTAACACCTTAGGTGTTTGTCACAAACGACCTCAACCTTCTAGGCTTTAGTGCTGAAAATGGCTTTTCTCCCATGGCTGGTGTTACAGGTTGAATTGTGTTCCCCTAAAATTCATTTGTGGAAATCTTAAGCCCCAGATCCTCACAATGTGGTTGTATTTGGGAATAGGACTTCTAAAGGGGATTAAGTAAAAATTGGGTCTTTAGGGTGGGCCTGAATCCAATCTGACTAGCATTCTTAAGAGGAAATCTGAGTTGAAAAGTACAGAGAACTGGAAAGGGACATAATGTCTGTTACTTACCTAGTGTTAGCTTTAATAATAATAAGCAAAGAGGGCTTCTGTTTTGGGCAATTCTTACTTAAATCCATTTAGTGTAGGATTTTTTGGTGTTAGCGATTACTAGTTCTTTGCTGCCCTTGCTGTAGTGGGCTTATAAATGCTGACTCTCTCTGGTTAGGTGCTGTGTGCATAAGTTCTTGGGGGGCTCTGTGGGCTAGGAGGTCTTCCCATTGCACAGATTACCCTAAGTGGGAGGTCCACTCCAACTCATCTCTTCCAAACTCCCCTCTGTTCCCATCCCAGTGGTGCAGTCTTGTTTCAGATGTTTTATCTCAGTAAGACACTGGCAAGAGCCTCAAGGCCCACTACTTTCAGTGATGCCTACTTGACCATGAGAAATTCATATATCCTTGCCCTAAGAAATCATGGGAAAATAGGTGCTTCACCATTCCCCTGCTGTCTTCCTTAATATCTTTTTCCAATTCTTTCTCCCTGCTCAAATAACTATTTCATTCTTGGCAGCCACCTTCAGTTTTTGCAAGTGATTCTCTTCAAAATTCTCTAATTTTAAAGAATTTAAAATTCTTTAATTCTAATTGCCTTGGGGGATGAGTCAGGTAATAGAATGTACAATTTGGACAAATTCATTTTGTCTCACAGTTTGGACAATTCATTCTGTCACCATTCCTTCCCACCCTCAATCCATCCATACCCACTTTATAAGAGCTTGTGTGGTAGGGTAAAAGGGAGAGGACTGGGGTAATGATTTCAGGGTAGCACCATTATCTTCATGAACATCAAAGGGGGTATTTGTACCTTAGAAAATGTACTTGTCTTTGGCCTTCGGGCAACAGATGTCCCAATCAACATTCTGTTAACATGAATGTACCATATCTTTATGTATAATACTTTTTCTCATGTTTTTGGCTATATGTTATCCTAAAATTTAGAAAAACCATTTTCTTGACCTATAGTAACTTTAGTATAATTTTTGCTAGTTAAATATTTGGAAAGAAATTGAGTTTGAGAATGAAAAGTCACATGGGAAGGGCAGCTTGAGAAATCCAACCACAGATCTTAGGAAGCTTCAGTTTTTACACCATCTTTAGGAATCACTTAGAGGTAGCACATTCAAAGTTAAAAACATCATGAGTTGGACCTTTAAGACCATCCACCTTCAATTTTAGAGAACTTAAGTCCTTTGTTGACACAACTATTCACTTATTTTGAGAGCATTTTCTTAGTAGAAAGTATAAAGACTTTTTTTTTTAAGATTTTTTTTATTTACCTGATAGAGACACAGCGAGAGAGGGAACACAAGCAGGGGGAGTGGGAGAAGCAGGCTTCCCGCCGAGCAGGAGCCTGATGCGGGGCTCGATGCGGGGCTCTATGCGGGGCTCGATGCGGGCTCGATCCCAGGACCCCGGGATCATGACCTGAGCCGAAGGCAGACGCCTAACGACTGAGCCACCCAGGCGCCCCAAGCATAAAGACATTTTATAGTCTAGTATGTCTTAGTACTTTTTTTAAAAACTTGGGCAAATAAAAATACAGCATATTTTTAAAAGTCATAAACAAGAGTAAATAGAAAGTGTTAAACGAAATTCAACTGAAGAAATCTTAAAGACCTTAGTGGCTTTATTTGACAATTTATGAACCAGGGAGCATCCAGTCTAACAAACAGAAAAGTGCCCTGAAGAGCTATACAAAATGACTTTTATAGGCAGAAGGGGGTGGGACAAGGAAGTTACAAGCAGAGTGGATTGGCTGTGGCAAGGTCACCTTCCTTTAGGGGACTGGAGGGGTCTATGGGGCAGATTACCTCACTAGCCAGACCAGGCAATTCCAGATTGACTGGTTTTAGATGCCACTCCTGGGAGAGGTTGAAACTCTAGTTAAGTTTGGTATTAAAGTTTTGGTTTGATGATTTGGACTTAGCACAGATGTCTCCATTTTAGAGTATGTTGTCTCTTTTTTTTTTTTTTTGGTTTATGCAACTTTACTGAAGAAAAATATATCAATTACTAGCAGAGCTATTAGTTGATTACTCATCCATTGACAACTTGCATCATCTATTCAGTGCTATATTAAACAGTGTACTGGAAGATAGATTAACTAATTAACTAATAGCTCCAAGCCTCCTAACAATTTAAATGAGAATTACAAAATGTTTGAGACCCTATTTTGGCATACAAAAGGTGTTTGACTTCCAATTTACATTCTCTGTAGAACAAAAACAGGTCATTCCTTTATTGACATGCATAAAATACATCACATTTTCTGTTCTGCTGATACTATAAATTCAATACCAATTCTCCAGCCACATCAGTTATGAGCATAAAATGTATCATGTAACCTCAAATCTCTAACAGTGGAAAGCTTAAAAAAAAAGACTGGATGCTGGAATAATGCTGCTTCCTTTGATGTGACAACTGAACATCCATCTCCCTCCCCCTCAGATGATTTCTTCAGCATGTTAGAGCAGTGAGGAATGGTTTTAGTCTCATAACCAAATTAGAGTGAAGACATTGGCCACATAATACACATGCTCCATTTTTAAAAAAATTCTGAATCTTGGGCAACTGTTCTCTTGTAACTACTTTACAGTTTCTAAAAGCAGTTATTGTCCAAAGCTGGAAGAACTTAAGTCTTCTCAGATAAGCATGTGAATGAATGAGGTAGGTAAACAAAAAATAAAACTAAAAAAGATGAGGTCTGATAGGGGGGCAGCCGGATAAGAAAATCAAAAAAAGGAACAGTAATTTAAAGTTTATTCCAGCTATAATGCAGGTTATTCTGACTTTAAGGTAGCATCACATGGCATACTTCTGAGTCCATTCCCAAGATATTCTGTTGTACTTATCTCTGTTTTATAGATCCATGCAATCTCTGGCTATAGAGGGTCATCTGGGTTTGGATCACATAGCAATGAACAAATGGATAAAAGAACTTTAGCAATAGTTAAAGCAGGAGACCACTGTGATCTTAGAATATCGAGACAAATGCTGCCATTACTGTCAATATTTGGATGATAACTCCTTGTTGTAAATGCAACCTTAGGTGGTTTGAAGGGCTAGTCTGTGGGGAAATGAATTGTCAAAAAGAATACACTGCCTTGATATGGCCTGTCATTAGGTCCCATAATTGTGGCTTGCCAATGAAACATATCATCCCCAAATGGACCTGCAGAACATTGTGCTGGAGGGTCACGGGCCAAATCACTAAGTTCCTTATTAATCCGTTTCAGCGCCATAGTCTGCTTTTCGTCTGGTTCCTCACTCTCTCGGTGTGTGCTCAAAGGTCCGGCCAAAACTCTTGATTACCCGGGCAGCAGGGAAGGATTGTC